CAGCTTGAATAATTAATGATCAAAGGATAGGAGTATGGGTCTGAGTATTGCTGGGATTAAGGCTGGAGTACTGCTGGAATTATGGCTGTGAATGCTATAACCAGCCTGAGGTAGATAGCCTGAATGTAACACAAGAGAGGCAAGAGACAGACTTCCTCTCTGTAGCCATGGTTGCTGTTACTCCTCCCTTGTGCTCTTGCTGTCTTGTTGTCTTCTGCCGCTATGAACTGCTGCTCTCTGCCATGTGCCAGTCTGCCTTGGAGCTAGCTGAGTATAGACTGAAACCTCCAGTGACTGCGAGCTAAATAAACCTCTCTTTCCTTCACTTTGGGTGTCAGGTGTTTGTCCCAGCAACGAGAGAAGAGTAACTGAGACAATGCCTAATAAAAAACTAAAACAATGCCTCCCCCCATCCAAACTGCACACTGCACCTAAAAGTTCGTAGCAGCACTACTCAGAATAGCCAAAGAGTAGAAACCATCTGAATGACCACCAACTAATGGGTAGTGTCATCCTTACAAGAAAATACTATTCAGTCATTCAAAAGTATTGATGCAAGCACAGTGGTACACACCCATAATCCTAGCACTGTGTACCGGAAGCAGAGGAACTGTGAAGTCAAGCCCAGAGTGGGTGACAAATCAGTCTTACGTAGCAAGACTGTCTCAAAAAAAAAAAAAATTGAAGTATTGATATATTGATATATGCTGCAGCCTGGATGAAAACAGAAAGCATTATATTGTTTTTCAAAGTCATAAAGGTCCATGCATATATGGTTCCCTTTATATAAAATGAGTAAACAGAAATACATTAGTGGTTACCATGGCTAGAAGAAGAAAAGGAATACCAAAGGATGTGGAGTTTCATAAAGGGGTGCTGAAAATACTTAGAATTAGGAAGTACTAAAAAAAATTTAAAAAAAGGAATTAGGAAGTAATACTGACCACTGTATGGCCTTGTGAATCTACTAAAAGCCCCAGAGGTATATGATCTTAACAAGGACAAATTTTTATAAAGATAGCTAGGCTGGTACACACCTGTAAATCCATCACTCTGGGAGGCTGAAGCTAGATATTCCCAAGTTTGAGCCCAACCAGGGCAGTTTAGCAAGATCCTGTCTCAAAATAAATTTGGAAAAGATCTAGGCACTCTCTGAAAAAGAGTGGTATTCTTTTGTGGTGCTCTTCACTACCACAAAAAACGTGAATTTTTATGATTATATAAATTATGCATAAACTAAGTGCTAATGTACTAGTATTAATATTAATTCAAAGGATACTATAATTTTAATTTGTAAATGTTTGGGCTTTATTGCTGGACTTGAAAGCTATAAGCATTAGATGCTTATTCCTGGTTTTCTATTTGCATACATTTAGTAATATAATGAAAATAATTTGTCAATAGTTTTGTTTTGGTCTGTTATGGCCACCAAAGTCTCACCTAGAAGCCTACAACCCTGAGGCAATTACTGAGCCTTTCCACTATCTCTGAGTAACATTACAGACTTTAAATTAGCATAATGAAGAGGTTAAAAAATGGGTTTTCAGTAGTGAAATTAGTGGCTGATCAGTCAGAATCATGAAGTACAAATGGGCTCCCACCAAGGAGGCCAGTGGCATTCAAGAGATAGTGATGGCCTTCCAATTCTAAAGACTCCACGCTGCAATGAGCAGTGTGTAACCACTTAGGAAGGCCCGTTACATGAACTGCTAAGTATCATGCCTCAGGTTTGTCAAAACCTTGCAGTTCTGCTTATCTGACAGCAGCTGAAAGGGTAACAGACAACAGGGGTCAGCAAACTTTATAAGGGTACAGAGTGGACATTTTATGTGTAGTGGCTACGCCGCCTCTTTGTAGCTCTTCAGTTCTCCTACTATGGTAGGAAAGCAGCCAGAAATCATACACAAGCAAAAGCAGGGAAATGGCCCAGTGCTTGGCTGTGCTTATTCTAGAACTCGGTCTGTATCGTGCAGTGTGTGTGGGGGGTTAACGTCCTCTGGAAGGACACCGAAGGGACTTCAGCAAGCCTGCAGATCATGTTCTTGTTTACTGATACACATTTGTGCAAGAAATGCCTGAGCCTGGCTTGAACCACTATCTGATAGTGAGGTTGAAGGGAGCAGCTAACCCACACCAAGCTTAAACTTCTGGGCCAATGTTATTTGCCAGAAAAAAAAAAATTAACAGTAGTATAGCATAGGTACATCAATAGGTGATGGAGCAACCTCATTGCTACTTTAACAGCCCTGCCATTTTGCTATCGTCTATTAAGACAAGTAAGACAATTTCATGTCAAAAAGCAAGGATTGAAAATTAAATTTGAGATAAGAAAACTCAAGGATATCAAATGCAATGCACATGTAAAGTCAGAGTCAGTCTAACAGAGCACCATAAAGTTATAAAGACCCAGGTACCCACTCTGGTCTAAAGCCCTGTTGGCTGACTTCACATGAACTGAAAAAGTAATTTGCAAAAGATTAAAATCATTTGTAGCACTGGAAGGAAGCAAAAGAGTGAAACACCTAAAACCAATGGCCTGCGGTTTTCACATTGGTTCCTTGATTTTCTAAATTTGATTTGAATCCAACTAACATTGAAGCTAGCCGAAATTCCCCAACCCTGGGCAGCTGTAAAGCTAAGTAGATCAGATCAACAGCCATGCTTGGAGGCTTCAACACTCCTGCTGGAAGGGTTAACTGATCAAGGCCCATTCTGTTTATCTGTGTGTGGTTCAGTAGTGTAATATAATAAAAAGAAGAAAAGCACTGCTTTACCACCACTGCCAGTCGCATTTCTTCTCTCATCAGGTCATCCTCTGAGAAGTGTTCTGCTGGCTGTATCCAGACTGTTGGGCAAATCCACCAGAGCAGTTTTCCAAACTTGCTGGTTCCCCTAAGGCACCCTAAGGCTGCTCAGAGGAAAAGTGCATCTGGGCCCTGCAGCCTGCATTTGTAACAGCGATCCCTGCATAACGCTGCTGCAGATGCTCCTAAGTCCACTGGCAAGCACGTTCAGTTGGTGGTCTACCACATCAAGTTTGGAGCCCCTGATCTTGGAACTTGGAAGCCTGTCCATGTGCAGGAGAGAGAAGCCAAAACATAACTCCAGCTTCTCTAACAAGAACAGATACAGTTGACATATAGAGAGATGACAGTTGACTGACTATAATGTATCAGTAATGTGATATTCCCTCACCAAATTAGAAAACAAGTCTACCAGTATACGCTTTTTAAGTAAGATTTTTTTTAAGTGGCATGCATTCTACTTCACTGCACATCTGCTGTGCTGGGTATTATGTAAGACCTTGGGTACTGTATCAGCAAAGATCAAACCAGACATGTCCCCTCATCTTATCAGCAATAAAGAAGTAATAAAAACTCACTGCAGGACTCTAAACAGCTGTTAGATTGGAATGGAGGACACAGACGTCTCCAACAGAGAGGTAACTTAAACCCATGAGTGTGAGGTCTAGGAATAATGCGGTAAGCAAAGTGTGCAGCAGACATCTATCTACCTGGCCCCAACTAAGGCCAGAAAGGAGGGTGAACCAGGAGTTCAGTTGCTATGTTTTAGAATTGAGAAATACAATCCATAGACTAACTCTAGGCCAAGAAACTCAAGCAGAAAAGGCCTGAGACCATGGAGAACCAGACACGAGGTGTTAAAGCGACAGTGAAACTCAAGATTATCCAACGCAAGGTGATGAGACGCCAGTGCTTGGGGCTTGATTCCCACCTGTGTATTCTCTTCACTCCAGCCTGCCCAAGACAATTCAAGCATGCTTGTGTTCTCAAGCTGCTCTGTGAGTATGCAGGCATGTGGGTACGAGCATGTATACAGGTATGTGTGTAAGACAAAGACAGCCAGGTGAGACAGGGATGAGCCAATATCTGAAAGTCAGGGCAAACACCTGAGAAGAAACAGTGCTGCAGTCTAATGGCTTTAAAAGATTACACAAGAGACATAATAGGGAATGCCTCTTGCCTCTGGCCACCCATCTCTTCTCATTCTGACCTTCTTCAATGCTTTCCCTGCTGGAGAGGTCCTCTTCTGACCCTAGCATCCTACCAAGATGGCTGATCCATGGTACTTTCCCCTAGCCTGCTACCAAAGATAGAAATAAAGGAAAACCTAAGAGCAGTGTCACAAACCTGTCATTGCAGCATCAGGAGGAAAGCATTGCATCTCATTTCAACCCCTAAGGTTACCAGTGGTCTTTAGCAATGCCTAAGTTGAGGAAATAGCCATCACCTGCAGCCCCAAGAACACAGACCCAATAAGCTCTTTGTAGAACCTTTCTTCCTTCCTTTCTACCAGGGTAATAAGGACTGAACTCAATACAGCTGCACAGCAACTCCTGTTAAATAATCAACTCTGGTTTTAAGTGAGCAAAGCCCTGCAGCATCTGGCTGCAACACATCAAGCCAAGGGGAAGATTTTCCCAAAGGCTGAGAGGTAAGCTACTTACTGACAGCTGGAAGCTTAATTACTGCTTTTCTTAGAGCATTAACTCACACTAGCCAATGACTGCACATCCTATTAGCCATGTAAGTTAATGTGTCCAAAAATCTCAAAGAAATGGTATAAATTAAAAGAAAATCAGCCAGTAGGATTTAAAAAAACAAAAAACAAAAAATACCACTGAGCACCAACTGTCTTCTCTAGTGTTTGTTTATTTGTTTGATTTTTAGTGCTGGGAATAGAATCCACAGCCCCATGCTATGCTATGCAAAAACTCTACTAGTGGGCTATACCCCAACCTGTTTCTGTGCTGTCCAGGAGGCCTGGGTACCAGGAGATACTCTAAGTGTTTGTCCAGGGCATCTCTACTCCTCCAAACTCTAGCACCTTCCAAGCTCTTTGGAAATGCTCACTCATGCCTAGAATCCAGTGAATCGCGTTCTGCTATGTGAACTCACTTATTGGCCACAAGATGATGCCAAGCCTCACAAAGGAGATTCTCAAGCAGTTGAGTGCATTCTCTCCCGTGTTCTACTTACCACCACCTTTGTAGCAAACATGTACTTGTCCCGAAGCTGAAAGTCTCTCACTTCTTCGAGGATGACTTCCTGGTTTTCCCGGGATTGGAAGAAGTCTGTACTTCTGAAAACTGTGGAATAGCCAGAGGGCTCATGTCGTTCAATATAGATGGTGTTCGGTTTGTCATAGGGATCAATTCCCCTGGAATAACAGAAAAGTATAATCATTTCCACAGTTAAACATCCGAAGCACAGCCGCCATGGTGCAAGCTACCAATGATATTCTCCATGCCTTATACATAACCCTTTGGCTGCTCCTGGGCTCAGCACAGAAGAGGAACTGCCCCACTCACAGCATTCTGTGTTGCTACTGGGGTTTGGAAAGCATCCTGGCATTAGCTCAAAGCAAGCTCTGGCCCTGCTTAAGAAAAATAAAAAGCAGAAAAAGCACAAGGTAGAATGTTTCTGAATAAAGAAACTATAGACTCCTCCAGCCATCGGCAAGTTTCTAGCCTCAAGCCATGAACTTCAGCAGAATGAAGGAACATTTTCTACTCCATCCGCAGAAGTACAGCACTAGGAGAAGCCACGTAAGGAACATCTGAGGTAGCCATCCCACAGATCCTGCCTATCAGTCCCTGGTGAACGCGATAGATCCGCGACATCTGGAGTCAGCTGTCAGTGCATTTTGCTCCATGAGGTCGCTTCACAAACTTTCTCATACTCTGGTGTCCTTTATGTCCCTCAGAAAGGAAGGGCACATTTCTCCCTCTGAGTTTTTGCAAAAACAACACGGCTCTGAGGGGTGGAGATGCCTCTGAGCATGCTGATACTCTCACCTAAATTTTCCTCTCCTCTGAGGTCAAGATGGAGTCCTCACCAGCCAGCAGCCAACCCTCAGTGCCCCCTTGCCTCCCCCAACACCAGCGAAGCATCTGCGCACTGTTCACTTCAGGCATTTTGTGAATTTTAATTTTCACAGTAACATAAAACCACTCAGGTTGGGTGAATTTGGAAGAGGTATAATTATTTTATATAGTGGTGTTTTTTTGCATGTATTTGTTTGAAGCAATGCTCTTGTACTGAACGCATGGACTATAATTACAGATGCTAATCCAAAATGCAAATGTAGAATGAATGATATGGGTCACCCTAGCTTGGCAAAAAAACTCTGAGCCCTAAAAGGCCCAGCCAGCAGCTAGAAGGATGACAGATTTGCCCAGGGTTGTGTTGTTGTTGTTGTTGTTGTTGTTGTTGTTGTTTTTGGCCGGCTCAGCCCACCCTGAGGGCAGGGATGGTGTGGCATGTGGTACTGGGGAATCATACCACAGTCCCCTGCACCTGCCTAAGCTTGCCTACGCAGGTGCTTTAGAATGCTGAGCTATCTCGCCAGCCCCTTGCCCAGGTTTGCTGACGTCAGAACACCCAGGTTGGGCAAACCCATCAGCATATGGGGAAAATAACTGGGTAGTCAGGAAAAAAGACTTACAGTGAGCATGCAGAGGGATGTCTGGGGGAGAAAAAGAGGCCTCGCTTCTGCCATGCCCTATACCAAATCCAACATATACGACAATGCTCCGAATAATGCAGGTGATAATTTCAAACTCCTTCCAAGATAAGGCACACTGTGAGACTGTCAAGAGTGTGTTCAAGCCCAAATTGAAAAAGGAAAGGAGAGCAGAAGGAAGGAAGGTAAGAAATAGAAAGAGAAGGCTCTTTATAACAGAGGAACTTTTGCCCTCCCATCTGGAGTCTGCACGGGGCAGCGAAGACAGCAACAGCCTGGGCCCTGATATGGGAGAAATCTATTCTCCATCATCAGATGATCGCTGTGTGGGTGAGTGGTGGCATGTTCCCTTCTTTTCCACAATTAGAAGTACTGATTAAAGTACTTCCTTTAGCCTAGAGGATATGCAAATTCAAATGAGGCTTCTGGGTATTTTTTAAGAGGCAGAGAGGAAGGAACCTTTCTTGAGATATTTTGAGAGCAATGCATCTCTTATTATTCCTTCTAAGTCAAAAGAGGGAGTCATCACAGAGACAGAGAGAATTGTGACTTCCATCCCCATCTCCTCCGTGACCCACACCGGGGCCTTCTAGGTCTGTGAGCTGCTCCACACACAAATTCCTCTGTGCCATCACCTCCCTTGCCTTCTGACCACCTAGGGCCCAGAACAGGCTTCCTTTCCCTTCTCTCTGCCCTCGATTGGGAAGTTCTGATCCTTGTTCTTCCTGTGAGTGCAATCATGGGTGCTCAACTCCTCACCTCCAAGCCCCAGGGATGCTGTGTCGGGCATCCTTGAGTCCCTCCCCCACAGTGTCCTGTCTGCTGCTGCTGCCTTGTCTTGCCAATCTCCAGCTCTGGACAACACAAATTACTGGTTGAACAAACATCGATTATTGCTCTCAGACAGACCGGATTATACTTTCATCTACAATGGGGAAATCTAGAGGAGAAACACCTAAATAACCTGAAATCCCAATGAAAGACATATAACTGCTCAATATGAAAGAGCCATCCCTTCTTCTATGACACATGCTGTGTGTTCAGAAGATAAAATAAACAAATTCCTAAACTTGAATTGCCTGTACATAGCAGTCCTGCTGGTTTGCCAGCTTAACATATAGTTCTGTAAACTCATAGAAGATCAACCTGTCCTTCTAAAAAAGTCAAATAAAGGGGCCAGGGAGATGGCTCAGTGGAATAAGCGCTTCCCTGGCAAGTGCAAGGGCCTCAGTTCAATCCCTGGTTCCACAAAAACAAAACAAAATAAAGTCAAATAAAGCAAAAGAAATTTCTAATAGTATTCCTTGATGGAAGTTGTCCTAAGATGACGCTATGCTTATAATTTTGTTTGGCTCCCAAAACATCCACCCTCTGTTACGTAGGATGTCCCTGGGTGTTAGAAGATGCTGCAGGGCTCCTCCCTTTACTTCCTGCATTTTAACATCTTTAGTTACTAAAGAAGTAATAGCAGCTGGATTCATTCAACTTTAAACACAGTGATAAAGGAAACACAGACGGTACCTACCTCTTGTGGGGTCACTGCATTTAATATGGACTAATGCTACATGTAAAAGTCAAAAGACAGATGAAAATCTGACAAACGTACACACATAGCCTGTTTCATAGCTAAAGAGCTAATCTCAAATATATAAAGAGCTCCTGGAAATCAATAATACAAAGACTGAAAAATCAGATTTAAAAAAGGGAAAAGAACATGAACAGGTATGTAACAGAAAATGACCCTTAAGCAGGAGAAAAGATGCTTAAAATCATTCACTAGGAGAAAAGTGCTAATTAAAGCTACAAGGAGATACTATTCCTTACCTAATAGCTTTGGAGAAAGGGGACATGATTAAGTGCAAACTTGATACTTTCCATGAAAAATGTGGCAATGCTCACCAAAGTTGCAGTTTCGCTAGAGATAAATGCATACAAAAACAACACAAACCCACGCCCTTGGAGGGCTCTCACTTACTGAAGAAAGTCAATTAATGTGCATAATAAATGTATATTCAAATGTAATAAAGAACTGTACAAAGAACAGAACACACAGTACACATAAATAAAAGGGTAATAGTTGCAGTTTCGAGTAGGAGCCTTAGTAATGTTAATCAAACTACTTGAGATATCACCTCACTCACACTGCAATAGCTACTACCAAAAAGACAAGAGACAGGGGCTGGGGAGATGGTTCAGCTGCATAAGTGCCTGCCTGGCAAGCATAAGGTCCTAAGTTCAATCCCTGGTATGAAAAAAAAAAAAAAAGACAAGAAAGAGTAGAGCGCGGAGAAGACATGAAGAGGAGAGAGCTCGAGCACCCTATGGAAATGCAGACTGGTGTGCAGTCATGGGAGACAGTAAGGAGAATCAAAAAAAATTACAAATTGAACAAGTATCTGTCTTCTGGATATATGCCCTAGAAGAAATAAAACCACCCCTTCTACAGACGTCTGCCTGCCCATGGTCACTGTGGCATTATTCACACTGGGCAAGATATGAAAACAACTCGTAAGCCTATCAGCACCCAAATGGGAAAAGAAAGCATGGTGTATAGATTTCATGAACTATTATTCAACCTTTAAAAAGGAGGAGCCATTTGCAACAACATGGATAGACCTAGAAGATATTATGCTAAGGAAATAAGCCAGACACACAAAGAAAAACACTTCCCAGTTACATGTAGAACAAAAGAACAAAATATACAGAAATAAGAAATAAAGAAATAAGACAGGGTGGGAGTGGGAGGAGGACAGAGCCCCTCCTCTGGCCTCTCATCTAGTCAGTTAATGCTGTGCTTGCTGCACAGAGTGTGTTTTGAACACTCTTTTCCTGTCTCTAAACTGCATTTTCCTTAAGAGCTATATCCATAAATTATTCAACTTCTTACACCCTAAGGTATCTTGGAGATTTTATACTTAAGAGAAGACACTGAAAAAATGCTATGAATGAACAAATGCTTTAGTTTTATGTAGAGAATCCCCCATTATGATGCTCTAGATATAAAGGTCTTTAATAACTTTATAACATACAAAAGCCAAGATACCCCTGGGTTCCCTGACAGAGGAAAAAAATGCAAGAGTTCTACTTATAAATCTTTGCTCTGGAAAATTTATTTTCTCAGCAAATGCTACATATTTCAGGCTTAGACTAAAGACCTATCCACCACAAAAGAGCTAAAACTGGAGAGAGGGGCTTATGTAAGTCAAGATTTCCTAGACAACACAACTTACCAAGAAAAGGACTTCACGTGCTCCTGAATCATGATCCAGGTCTGGCCAAAATCATCAGACTTCCATAGCTGCAAAGACCAAACAATAAGAAGGGGGCATGATGCGAGAACTGTGTACAATCTGAAAGGTAGCACCGTCCGTCCAACACCTACTGAGATCCTGTCCCCACACTGTCTGTGAAGACAGGCACTCAGATGGCCAAAGCCAGCTCAGGCATTCCACAGCCAACAGGATCATGCATGGCACGACAGAGCTGTACCTTTGCATTTTGCTTTAGTCACAAGGCTTTCAGCTGAAACCAGAAGGAAAAATGACCAGCTTACCCTCCACTTAGGTATTATCAGAAATGATATTTCTCTCAATAGTAACCCCACTACCTGAGGGTTACTCTTGAGTAACTGGGAAATAGCATCCTTAAAAATTTGTAATGAGCAGCAGAATTATGCACAATACCCAAATTGTGGAAGCAGTCAAAGCGCCCATCACAGGGTAAATGAATAAGCAAAATGCAATCTCTACATACAATGTCATTCAGCCTCAAAGAGGGACACACTGACACATGCTACTGGGCACATGAACCCTGAAGGCATCATCCCAAGTTAAACAAGCCACTTGCAAAAAGACCAATTATGTATGATTCCACTTGATGTAGCTACAGTAGTGAAAATTATAGACAGAATGTTGAATGGTAGTTAACAGGGTCTGAAGGAAAGTAGAATAGGAGGTAAGTACTTAATGAGCATAGCGTTTTAGTTCTCCAAGATGAAAGAAGTTTTGGAGATGGGTGGTAGTAGTGCCGCACCATGGGATGAATGGACTTAAACCACTGAACTGCACATTTAAAAATGGTTGAGACAGTAAATTTTACTTCATAGGTATTTCACCACAATAATAAATAACGAAGAAGAATAAAAATGATGGGCAAGGATACAGGGTGGTGGTAAAGCCCTTGCCTCACATACACGAGCCCCTGGACTTAATTCCTGGCACCAAGACAAAAATAAAAACCATAATGAGCCTTGGTCATTAAAGCTGTCTACACAGGACACTAAGGACCCTGGCTAAGTACAGAATACCAAAGGGAATAAACTGTGCAGACTTGGCCATGAGTAATTAACTTGCTAGTCTTTGCCAAAGTCCCTCAACCTCAACAGATGAGACCCCAGGGCTCTGCAGGCCCTAGTAAACATGTATTAAGAAGCAGGAGACCAAAAATAACAATAATCAACCTCTGCTGACCCAGTACATATAAGTTTAGGATACTCCCTAAGGCAAGCAAAGGTAAACAGATCTACAAAGCAAAAGAAATGTTCCAATGCTCTTCTCAACAAAAACATTCAGGATTCACTACTAATCCAATCACACAAGGTCTACTGGCTTCCTAGGTTTATGTCCATCCAAGGCTCTTGATATAGCAAGTTTTGACTCTGAGATATAAATCTTCCTCAGGATCTCTTTTCACTTATCAAGGTTCCTTTGTACCTGGTCAAGAAGAATAATAAATGCATTTCTGTTGTACACTCAGGCATCTACACTCATGCCAAGGACAAATATCAGAGCTAATGGTAACTTCAAGGAAATGGCAGGCAAAAATGTGTAAGGGAAGGGCTAAAGGGTAGCTCAATAGTAGAGCACTTGCCTACATACCTCAGGCCCTGGGTTCCATACTAGTACCATTAAAAAAAAATGTTTAAAAACAAGAGGTCACAGAAGAGCTCCAGACTAGAGTTCTCCACATGGCTCTCTGATTAAACCCCAAGGCCTTTGAGCCTTTGATGTGGCTTAGTAGCTAACAAAGATGCCTCTGCCTGGGGAAGGCCTGGTGTTCAACTCGAGGGCCTGCCAACCGCTAGGTACTGCGTGCCGGCTGGGACACAGACACACAGGACCAGGAGGATATTCTCTTCTTTAGCTGTGGTAAGTGAACTAGTAGCTACAAAGACTAAGCCTGAGAGCAGGAAGGCAGGAGGCAGGAGGTAAGGACACTCAGTGCACCCAGCACAGCGGAGTCGCAGGAGCTGCACCCGACAGGGCTTCAGAAGCTCTCTTACCTGCTTGTTAGGATGAGATCTGTCAAAGCCCAGAAGAAGGTTGGACGCTTTACTGTGGAGGAGGAGATCAGCAGCCCGGAATGGGATGGGGAAGCCATGAATGGTATTGCAAAAGTCAAATGTGATCCAGAGGTACTGGGCATAAGCATCCGCAAAGATGTACTGCAAGAGAAAACAGTCAAGCTCAGCGCAGTGCTTGGCCAGAACCACCCCACACTCCCCTAAGTTAAAGCACACGTATGTGGGAAGTGGGGTGCCAGGCCTTACGAGGCTTCCATGATGGCTTTCCCGCATCTCTCAGCAACACAAACATGCTGGCCATACCGACCAGGCTCAGTGAGGGAAAGGGTACAGTGACAGCCCAGGAGCGCCAGGGTGCAGGTGACAGCCACTGACTGAGCCTGGCGAATCAGGCAATGAAGCTGGTCAAGTCTGTTTGTCCTTTCAACCGACTTGGCCACTCTCATCCTCTGGCAGGTCACGTAGTCACAATCAGAGTGAAGCTCCTGGCAGCTGGGACAGAGATACCCTGGTCTTCAGATGGCCTGAAACCAGTCAAGACTGTTGTCTCTCCTTGTGTCCTCTGAGCAGCTACAACAATGCCTCTCTGAAAAAATTGTTATAATCACACCTGGCGAAGAGATAAGCTACTCTACTATGCCAGGTGACCAGGCAACTCTGGGGACCAACGGAGCTGGCAGCTATGCTCTGAGGCACAGTAGGAAGCAGCTCTGGGGAGAAGAGGCCTTGCCGAATTTTGCTTCTGTGTGGCCCAGTGACTTACAACAAGTTTGGCAAGATAGCGGCTCCCTCAAGAGTTCTCTAGGGACAGGATCAAGACTGTTCAAATTAACAGGTGGGTCCTGCAGGCCCACAAGGGGCCAAACATGGGAGATGTCACCATGAAGAGCCAGGATCCTTTCCCTTAGCAGCTAGCCACCTGACGTGGAGGACAGGCAGGTCCACAGCTAGCTGCAATTCAATGTTAGATGAGAATGCACAGGCAGAGGCTTATGAGAACTTATCCAGCTTGATATACCAGAAATGACTGTACAAAAGAGATGGACACTGAAGAGCAGGCAAGACTTCTACAGGGAAGGAACACTCCATATCTAGGGCTGCTTAGGTGTGGTCAAAAGGAGGGGAATCAAACTATCAAGTGGGTCTGCTGAGAGCCTTCAAGGCCCGAGGAAATGATGGGGAAACATAGATGCTTGGAGGTCTTAAGTCCGCAGGAGAGACCTAGGGCCAGGCCTGTTCCCAGAAGAACCAGGGTGGCCCAGGGGATGAGGCTATGAATCAGAAACGAGGGCAACAGTGCTTAGCTCCACAACCAGTCAGTCATAGTCTAGAAGCCAAGCAATCTAAGCGAATCACCCCAAGGCCACTGCTCTAATTGACAACACCTGACCCAGATCAAACTCTGGCTCTGACTCCACATTCACTGAGTCAAACACTTTCATCTGCTGCTTCTTCCCCTCCACTTGCCCCAAATCCAGATCTGAAACTTCCCAGGGCCCATTTTGTGCATCCTTTCTCTTGTTTCTTCTCTAGCATTTACCGTAAATCTCCACACTGTAGAAGCTTAATGAAATCCAACCAAAAAAAAAGTAAATATTTTGAAAACAAAATCTATTCTAAGCAAATGCAATGTAACAAAAACAGTTATGATCCTTGGAGAATCATCATAATTTTTATCATGAAAGTATTCCCTAGAAATAGTCTCTTTTTCACTCTCAAATCATTTTGATTACTGGGGAGCAGAATAGATTCTCAGTTCAAAAAGAATGATTTCTCCAGAAATCCATTTCATGGCTTGCTGCAATCTTTCATTCGTGAATCAAGAAAAAAAAAATTATGCACCTAATCATAGAACTCATTTTCAGTGGGAGACAGTTACAGAGAACTGTGGCCTGGTTGGCCTCGTCTGAGCACAAGGGAGAAAGGCAGCAGGTTGCATTCACTTGGCAACACCCGGGGATGATGGCATGCGGAAGGTTCTAGAGAAAAGTCAACACAGTTGAGATCAGGCTGTTTAGCTGGCCACATACTAATGGACATGCCAGGCAGATAAATGTTGTGCTACTTTAATTGCTTGTACCCATGTTTGAGTGACTGAAAACAAGATAAGCCAAATGCTTAGGGCTCCTCTGCCTACTAGAGGCAACAGCCTTCTGCTGCCCCCGTGTTAAACTGACTCGATGTCTATCTTCCATCTTCACTCACCCCAAGCCAGGGTGACAAACTAGCAAGACCATGGTCCTGCAAGTAGTGCTTGGGTAGGGAATGATGAGTGGGCCAATTCCCCATCAGTGGTGCCTGGACAGGGCCAGTGTAGACTGGTTCACTACAATTATGTTTTACGATGGTACATGAAATTTGGGGGGAACACAGTCACTATGTCCCAAGCCCCAGGCTTTGTATGCATTACCTCATTCAGTCCAGTCAGAACTCACAGCAGCAACTCTCTGGGTAGTGCTGCTACACTCTCCTTTAATAATGAGAACACAGAAAGTGTGCATAGCTGGCAAGATGATCCCAGAGCAGGCAGCACTGACACCCATATCTAGCCAGGGCAGAGCCCCTCTCCGAGAGGCCCACAGTGCGTGCCTTCTTCCCCTAACCCAAAGGCAGCATTTCCTGAACTTAATCCAGAGGTCGCACAGGCACTGTTTAGCTCATTTGCGTGCTTCCTCTCCTAACCCACCATGACGTTTTCCCAGGAGCTTTCTCTGGCTGCGTCTGCTGCAGGGCTCCTCTGGTCCCGCTCCCCACTGCACACCAGCCATCTCAGACCTCGATTCTTCCTCACGGGTTCCTCTACCTGCCTCAGCCTCTGCCCTCGAATCCCATGTCTCCCCAGCCTTTACCGACCCGGCTTATCCTTCCACACGGCTGCACCTGCTGTCTCAAGAGCAATCACTGCATGCCTGCAAACCATTGTTTGGATGGTCTTTGTTCCGCACAAGCTCATAAATTGGAAGCTCGGTCCTCGGTGTGACAATGTTGAGGAGGCGGTGGAACACTTCATAGGTGGGGCCACATGCAGAGTAACTGGCTCTTTCAGGGCGCTACTCTCAGAAGGGCAACTGTTGTCCCTTCCTCCCCACTCTCTGGCTTCCTGTGCTTCCCCTCACGTTTCCCCATGAGGCCATCCATCACGACTGCATGCAGCCAAGGGAGCCTGCCTCAGAGGCCAAGGTGATGGGACCCATCTAAGATGTTCAGCCTCTGAAACCATGAGCCAAATAATACCTGTCTTCTTTATAAAGTACTCAGCCTTGGGTATGTTATTATAGCGATAGAAAATGGTTTAATACAACTTTCATAGCTACAGATTAAATCTGAATTTTTACTGAGATTCTACCTTCATTACCTTTGTTACCTTCTCAGCCATCTCCCCTTGCATGGGTGAGGATATTTCACTGGATTTTAAGCTGAATTCTTCAACACTTTCCCACCAAAATGCAGGTCTCCGGCCCCATGCCCAAGTTCCAAGCATGCTCTTGACTCACAGTCAGGGCTGGATTTTGACTACATTCCATCCCTTTAGTTTTCATTCTCAAGCAGCTATCCACCTATCAGTCATTCTCCTATTACCTCTTTTAAAATCTGAGTCTTCCTTCTTATTCCCAGGGCCATTAGTAGGGCCTTTGTTCCTGCTAGAGAGGGAGCAAATAAGAATCAGGCACTCTTTGGATTCATCTTGCATTCTTCTAGGGCCAGCAAAGTGGGAAATACATCAGTGTGGGAGGTTGGGGTAAGCAACTGAGGAGCTCCTTCGCCCACTGACTGCCTTCCCATGCCTCTCTACTCTTTCCCTTCCAACCCATTGAGCCTATTTCCAGGAGACACGCTTTCCTAAAAGACACAAGTTACATTCCTGCTCAAAGATTCTTCCGTGGCTTCCCAGTCCTCAAGGTAAAACTGAACTCTCTCCATGGCAAATAGGGGCTGGGTAGCCACTGTAGAGCAGCTCAGCGCAAACCCCCTGTCCCTGAGAAGCCATCTCCTGCACAGAAACTACATGCAGGCGCTCTAAGGAAGCCCATGTCTTCCTAAGCTAGATGGTACCCACCAACTCTTCTCCACCTCCTGACAGTTGGCGTCCATCCTGGTAGCTCTAGTCCTAATCCAAAGCACCCCATCAAGGCTGTACTCCTTTGCTCCAACTGCTCTTAAAAGCTCTACCTAGCAACAGGATCCACCCGTCAGGGTCACATGGCGCACCTTGCCATTACATGAGGCATCACACAAGCACATGGTAGGAAAGCACAGGTTTTCCCACCCTGCTGTTAAGCCTGGCTGTCAAGCTCACTGACTGCCAACTGCACGGTCTGCCAACACTGAGCCCTGCAGATGCTTCATAAACTGTGATCCCAGGAGCATCTTCACCTCCTCCCACTTCTCCAGCCCTGTTTACCAGCACTTAATATTCCAGAGGAGCCTCATTCTTTCCTCTGAAAATGCACACACTACACTACTGCAGAGGTAATGAACTGAGCTGCGGGATAAATCCATATGTTATCAACCAGCATAACTGACAGCCTCCAATTTTGAGTGCAGGAACCAAAGAGTATAGTGAGAGGGAGAAAAGGTGGAGCAGGCAATGAGGGAGAAAGGAAAACAGAACTATTTACAGCTGTACCTAAGACCAACCTCTGCCAAGGAAACGGCAGGCTCAGGTCTCACTTCCGCTAAGGCTGAGACCGTGAAGTCTCACTTCACTTCAGTGGTTCTTTTCAAAGAGGCCAGAACCTGTCAGGCACTGCCAGAACCTCTCAGGGCCTGCCAAGGGTGGTGGAACAGCCAGGTGGCTGAAGCGGCACTTGGGGACCAAGAAGAGGAAGTGAGACTGCGGGCCACATGAAAATAAACCTGGACACTCACGTGCCCAGCAACCACTCCACGGCCATCAAAAGCCAAAGCCGCAGACTGGAGCTGCCTCCTCCTCCTCTCCCTTCCACAGGCGCAGCTTCCCCTCAGCCTTCCTCGCGGATGCTGCCCCTCTGCCCTGACATTTTAACCCTCCAGAGCAGCTGCCGAGGTTAGTTTCAAGCGCTGACTGCTGGGGCTCTACCAGCCCTGCTATCAATAGGGAGGCACCAGCCCTGTGTTTATCCGGAAGTGGTAGGTCTGGTGAGGCAATCTGCCTTTCAAAGGACGAAGGTACAAGTCACAAATGCAATCAGCATAATAAGAATCATCACTTCCTTCCTGAGATGTCTCAGGAGGGTAACAGGTTTCTCCAGGGAGCTAGAAAGGTTCAAACAAAGTCTGCTTCCCTCCTCGACCTGCTCCAGGCCACAGGCCCAGCTGTATGGGGTTCTCTAAGAAGATAGCTTCATTGTTTGCCTCAGTTACTTTTCAGTTATCTGACACCCAAAATTAAGGAAGGAAAGGTTTATTTAGCTCTCAGTTAGTGGGAGTTTCAGCCCATACTCAGCTGGTTCCAAGGCAGAGTGGCACACGGCAAAAGGCAACTGTGCATGGCGGCAGAAAACAACAAAGAACAAAGGGAGGGGCAGTGGCTGCAGCTTCTAGCAAGCCTCTCTCCCCTCCTCACACTGTGAGGCAGATTACTCACCCAAGGTGGGATTAGCACTCACACCCATAATCCCAGCATTGGATCATAAATGAATCACAAACTCTAGAAGCCGACCCATGACTGCATGAGGCTTTGGGGGGACACCTAGACACAAACCATGACACTGTTCTCCTAACTACCCATATCCTCCAACTGTAAAGTGCAGCCAACACACCCACACACAAAATGCATCACTCTGCATGGCAGGCAGCCCTCAAGCTGCACTTGTGTGGCCTGTGCAGTCCCATCTCGCCATGCGACACCTGAACTCTTCTGTTGCAATCATCCCAGCATTCTTCTTCCCTGTGTCCCCAAGGCCACAGCCCCTATTGATCCCTGTGCATACCTAATACCCCAAGCCTCCTGTTCTCTGCCTGCACCAAACCCTCTGGGGTCCCGAGCAACATCCTTCCTGCCCTCGACTCTTCAGACTGAGAGCATGTGGTTGCTCGCCACAATCCGCAGCTATCAGGAAGGAAGATATAAGCCACTTGTAGGCATCTGTGCCCTGACGGTGGGAGGGGCCAGATGGAGCTGAAAAGGGAGAGCCGGAGCACTACACAGGGCAGCTTCAAGGTATGGCTACTGCCATGATTAGAGAGCTAACGTAGGAATTTAAGAGTCATAATGAAGATTAAAGATGGCGTGGCAAGGAGAGCAGTCCAAGTGTCACTTGCTTATTGCCAGGCAGGGTGGCACAACCATCAGTCAAGCCCTGGGGGGAGCTCCTCCCTTTTCAGGAATCCAGAGGAGAGTGAGCAGGGGAACCAGGCCACTGGTAGAGCCGGCAGGATCAAGTCTGACAGGCCCAGGGAGAGGTCAGGAGGTGAGGAGCCCTCAAACCATGTGCCCCACTGAGCCAATCCCGCCCACTGCTTTCTCTTTCCTTTCCTCTCAGGGGAATTCGCTCACTTACCCAGCAGTTAGGTAAGAGAGAGGGGTTGGTGCCTAACTGCAGCTTCACTCTCAGATCATTAGGCAGGATTGATGTGTAACCAGTATATACCAGTAATGACTATTCTGGTTCTTATTTTGTTAATTGTTCTGTACCAGTTAATAAATAGCTATCACTGGGGAAAGCCCAGAGTGGCTTTTCCTAAAGCTTTACAGGAAGGCCCCTACCCCAGAACCTCCTGCCAATTTAGCAACTAAAAGATTAATGCCTGGTCCACCAGGGGGCCTCCTGGAGGAAGCTCCCTCCAGATATGTCTGTTCTGATTGGTCAAGGCCTCAGCCACACCAGTTGCTAAATATTTTTTAATGCAGCCCCTGCTGGGAGACCACAGGCAACCTGAGAAGCCAGAAGTGGGGCTCTGGAAGAAGGGCCATGTGGGTCTCCTTCATTGAGCCCCTTCTGGATAAGCAAGTAGCAGCTCCCCTTATGTTAGAAAGCTTCTCCTACTAACAAGTGTTTCTACAAAGGTTCTTTCCCTGGAAGAAGGCATTGGCCCAAATCGAAGCCAGGCACCATAAGAGGGGTAGAAAGCAATCAAACACAATTTTCAGAGCTAAAAGCTACCAGACCAGCAGGAAAGCCTTGCAGGCTGCCAGGTTCCTGCCCTCGGCCTCTCCATCTTCCTTGAGGCCCAGTGTCAAGGCCTCCATGAGTCCAACTCCCTGGGAGTTCTGACCCAAGAAGCAAAGCCTCCAGCATGCCACCTGGAAAAACAAAGCAGGAGGCACAGCCATATCGTTTGCCTTGGTTTTTCTTTTATCTGTATTCATATAGGTTCAGAGAAGGGAAAGAGCAACACACAAACACACTCATGTCTGCACACATCCACGCACACACACCCAGCCCGCGATGCCAACTCTCTAAGAGTTCGGCAGCCGCCCTTGGAAACTGTGGATTACACTGCCATGTGAGTCCCAGAATAACTGGGAAACATTTTTGCAATAAGTGAGTTAGGCAATTCACTGGTTGGCAGATTTTTCTGTGGTTTCACCTACTATTGTGTGCCTGGAAATCTTACCTGATCAGTACTTGTCTGCCTGACTACAGAGATCCACCCTGAGAACTACGGTCACAATCCCCCAGGCCAGGTTGGCAGGAACACACTTGAGGGCTGCCAGTCATGCTGCAAAGACTATGTGTATTCCTTTCATGAACAGCACCCATTCAGAACAACAATCTTGGGCTGGGGAGGTAGCTCAGTGGTCTAAGCACCTGCCTGGCAAGTGCAAGGACCTGGGTTCAATCCCTAGTACCACATGCTATGCCAGCCCTGGGATCCCAGGCATGCTGTGCCCACCGAAACTGAGCATGGTGGTGCATGCCTATAATCCCAGTGCTGGGGAGGCTGAGATGGACCATTATGAGCCCAAGCTGTGTAGTGAGGCCCTGTACCAAATTAATTAATTAATTAATTTATTTTAAAAAACAGAACAATGAAGGGCCAGCCAAATAGCTCAGTGGATTAAAGCACCTAAAAGCAGGTGCAGGAGTCAGGGTTTGATCCCTGCACCTGCCATGCCAGTCCCACCCTGAAACAACAACTGAGACAGGGCGTGGTGGAGCGTGCCTATAATCCCAGCTCTTGGAAGGCTGTAAACAGGCAGATCACTATGAGTCCCATCTAGTAGTGAGATTCTGAACACCCTGTAGACCCTTCCCTACAAATACAAAAAAAAAAAAAAACCAGTACAGCGAATTTCCCAATATGCAGTCCTGGGAAGTCCATACTGTCTGATCAGCAGCTTGCTTACCCGCTTGTTGTCCGCAGGACTGTGGTAGAACTGAGCGATCACAGCTTCACTGGTATTTCCTACGCCGAAGTTCAACTTCTCTGAAATCCTATTGAATGACTTCCCATAGTCATAGGACACGTACACCTGGAACAGAGAGGAGAAAAGGAAAAAAATTGGTTGAGGAATCAGGCAGAAAGACCTACCCTGCTGTCCCTGACAACATGAATCACTGATGTTATTGAACAGCCCACAAAGGAAAGCAGAATACCTCTGTATCTATCCCCAAGCTTGTGGGAGGCAGAAAGCACAGAAGGGCTGCAGCCACCTCTGCCTGTAGTGTGTTGGCCTTCTTTCTGAGGCTGAGTCTCTGCAGCACGGGACAAACACAGAAACAATGATAACATCCCCATTAAGGGCCAGGTTAAGTGTTGAACAAATTACATCCAGAGGCAGAGAGAATGGGCACCTCTGAAGAGCCAAAGGTCGGAAATTTGTTCTGCCATCTGTGGAAATGAATCCAGCATGGCAATCCAATTCTCCATCCATCTGCTGGAAAGTCTCTTCTTAAAGCATCCAATGCTCAGAAAAAGAAAACCCTGATTGGCCTCCAAGAGATGAAACAGTCCTAAGTAATTAAACATGCACAGAGGTGCGGCTCGCACTAGAGGCCTTACCTAGCATGTCCGAGGCCCTGAGTTCCATCCCTAACAAACACTAAGAAAAATCTCAGTACCGGGATCCCTTTCTGCACTAGTTTTTTGATTCTGCAGCAAGGAGGATGATAGAGGGGCAGGATCCATGTCCAGTCTCACACAATGTACCTCTCCAGTGCTTCCTGGTTTCTCACAATGCAGTGACCACAGTGATAAAACAAAGAACAATCATCATTCATTGAGTGCTTACTACACCCAGAAATGACATTAACTTCTTCCAGGGAATGAGCTCAGGGAACTTCCACGATGCTATGGCAGATACAATTGTTAAAACTGTTCCACAAAGAAGGCAACAAGGGCTTGGGAGATTAGGTACTCAGCACAGTCCTGATGAGGAAAGCAAGCAGTGGGTTGGGATTCAGACACAGACTGCAGGCTTTCAAGGAGGGTAGCACAGAAGCTGGCAGATAAAACAGACCTAGGCTTGACTACTATGAAGTCCTGGCATAACCAAGCGTCTAAGAAAACAAATCTGGTAACAGTGAAAACAAGAACTTAGTCATTTTTCCAATGATTACAGATGGACTCACTAAGGAAAAACATCAGGTGAATCCCAAGGAGAATGAGAACTATGGTGCAAATCCCAGAATGCATATGGCCAAACTTTCCCATTTGTTTCCACAGCAAGCATGCCTGGGGGGCTTCACAAGGGCCAAGAACTATGCTGGGCACTGGAAGAACAAAAATAAAGACGAATGAAAGACATGGACAGATGAGAATGTAAACATCTAATGTTTGCTGACACACCCCACCCATAAACTATGAAACACAGCAGGGCTGTATACAGGAACCTGACAGCTCATGAGGGTCACTAACATTTAATAGAAGTCAAAGGTAGAAGCAGCTAAGACAGAGAGGCTCTTCCTTTTTGTGGGTCACCAGGGAAGGAACTACTAGGAACACACAGCCCATGTTCCCAACAACCAAATACACAGTATGGGGCTGCTACAAAGGCAACTTCAGTAATACAGCAGGTTGAGAGCTCATGGATAATCTGGGTGAGTAAAAAGACAAAGTGGGACTTTCTCGCTCAATTTCCCAGGCCAAGAATGAACACCAAGTCCCAGGTAAAATCAGAAGTTGTGTGTAGCAAACTAACAGCTTCTCCAATAGAGAACTAAGGCCCCTGCTGGCTTCCTGGCTTCAAAATCTCCTAACTTGATAACCCACTCTCACTTAGTTCTTGAAAGACACAACTGTGCTACGTTCACTTCAGATAGCATTTTCCAGTATCCAATACTCTTCGTGTTATCATTTCTCTCTTTCTCTCTAAAAATCCCACAAGTTAGTTTTATCTTCAGGGCATTTGAAACATAACAAGTAGTCAACAAAGAATAAGTATGACTACAAACCAAAGAGCAATCAAATGAATGTGTTAAATAAACAAAATGTAAACCGAATGAATCAGAGGGTGACTGAGAATGTGGTTGTCCTTCCTTATCCACAGGGGACTTGATTCTAGGACTCTATGGATACTAAAATCTGTGGATAGTCAAGTGCCTTATATGAAATAGACTACTATTTGCCTATCACCTACCCACATCTTCTGTGTGTCTCAATCATCCCTAGGGTACTCATACTACCTAAGACAATATAGTTGCTATGGAAGTAGCTGCCATACAAGGAAGGTGTATGCAGGTTCAGTACAGATGCAACTGTTTTCCTACCATTTTCAGTTTCCAGTTGACTGAATCATAAATGTAGAGCCCACAGATACAGATAGTTGACTATCATGATTTCCATATAAGAGAAAACAAAAGCTAAGACTATTAGGATGACTAACCTAGGGTTTTATTCTTAGTAGATTAAAAAAAAATTATGTTACTATTTACAATTCCAACCTAGTCATCTTCCAGTCTAGAATCACCTTCTTGGAGAATGTACTCTTCTTTGTACTTTCATTCCACCATACACCAAATGGCAGTCCCAGCCCTGGAAGAATCTCCGACCAGCAAGGAAGAAAAGGCCTGCTCAGCAAAGTATGAAGCCTTTCCTGGATTCTCAGCCACTACTCCTGGAGGTGAAACCATTCTCACTATCAAATAGCTCTTTCTTATTCCCCTGGCACCAGCAAGCAAAACCTATTTCTAGGGTCTTATTAGAGGTTAAGAGTAGGCATAGGCTGAGCATGATCAAGTGCTTTTATAATCCTACCTACTTAACAGGCAGAGATAGGAGGGTTGCAAGTTTGAGGCCAGCCTAGGCAACTTAGCAAAATCCTGTAAAGGCTGAGGATGTAGCTCGGGGTTGAGTGCCCCTGGGTTGATCGCCAATTCTAGGGAAGTCAGTGCAGAGTATTGCATAAGGGTCCATCCCATACCTGAAAGCAGGCACAGCTGCTCACCAATCTGATTTGCCTGCTCCAGGTCGAACAATTCCAGCATGGTATTTTTATGTTAGCCTCACAATTTTAATTTCTTTTTCTTAATTTTATTTCTTTATTTATTTGGTACAGGGTCTCACTATGCAGCTCAGACTCATAGTGATCCTCCTGTCTCAGCCTCCGCAGCATTGGGATTATAGGCATGCATCACCACCTGTGGTTTCAGTGGCCAGCATGACATATCCAGGGTTCCAGGGCTGGCACACGGAACATGGTACCAGGGATCAACCCTGGGTCCTTGCACTTGCCAGGCAGACACTTAGACAGCTGAACTATCATCCCAGCCCCACAATTCTAATTCCTATTTGACAGACATAGAACAGAGCACCACAGGGCAAACACCAGGCTGAAGGATGGTACCAGTTATCTATTTGTCTCTACATAGAATAGCACACAGAAGGCCTTGACTGCACTGAGCTAAACTTCAGTGGGCTGATGGCTTTGCAGACCCCGCACTGCACCAGCAAATGTGAGTTCTGGCTCAGGCTGTCTTTGTGTTCAGCAGCAAGATTCTGCTGACTCATTGTCCACAGCCATCTCCAGGTAAACCAGAGCCGACACCCCATACTCCCTCTTCCGGGGCTTTTAGTTTTCTTCCAGCCACAGCGTTCTGCAGTAATTAGTCCTCTCTGACCTCAATATGACACTGTGTTTCTTGTAGAATAAAATTTAATGTGGGAGGAATTAGTAAGTCACCCATGGTTGCTAGTGACATCATTTTTGTTCCTACAAAGATGGTCTTCTGAAGTACATAGATTAAAACTCTTTTCCTTGTACTTTAAAGCTAGACAACAATAATAATAATAATAATAATAATAATAACAGGGGGACTAAAATGTACAGAAAACACCTCCACCTCTGGTGCTTTTCCCAGTCTTGTACAGTACTGCTTCTCAGATTTTAATGTGCGTACAGATTACCACCCAGCAGGGCACTGGCCAAGAGCAGGTTCTAATTCAAACAGTCTGGGTGGATCTGAGTGTGTACATTTCTAAACAGCAACCAGAACATCCCCAAATGGTCCGAACCACACACTTTAATCCACGCAGCATGCTCTCACTCACAAGGTGCTGCCTCAGTGACCAACTGCTCTAGCTTGGACCTGGAAAGTCCCCAAAGGCCTATGTGTTACAGGCCTGATGGTATGACAGGAGGTAGTGGGACTTTAAGGGGTTGGGAGGGCCCCCAGGGGAGGTCTTTAGATTATTCTGGGTGTGTCCTCAAGGGGATCTGAGGCCTTGGCCTCGCCTCACTGTCTTTATCCTGTGGCCCCGGATGTGTTTCTGTTCACCATTCACTCCCTGCTACTGCCATCAAGTAAGTGCACCCATCCAAGACCTAAAAACAGTGGCAACAACAGTCATAGACGGAGATTATCCAACTGTGAGTCAAAAAACCTTTTCCCTTAATACGTTGGTTATCACAGGTATTTTGCTCCAGTAACACAAAGCTGACTAGTACGAAGACCAATAGGAAGGTACACACACACACACACACACACACACACACACACACCCAGCAGCACATTACTAATGAATATCAGGGTTCCAGCTCAGGTGTTCTGACTTCAGAGCCTGTGTTCATCCAAACACCAGCCTCCCAGGGCTACCAAGTTCTGCACTATGAGTAAGGACTGCCCTGCAAACCAGTCAAATTTGGAGGGGACAAGTCCTAACACCGCACCACTGCGGTGTAACTAGGGACAAAGAGGCAGTGCATTCTGTCATGCAGCACTCATACATCCTCCTAGATGAGCCTGAACCTTTTTGTTTTGGTTTTTCGAGACAGGGTCTTGCTCTGCAGTTTAGCCTGGCCTTGAACTCACAGCAACCCTCCAGCCTCAGCCTCCCCAAGGATTACAGGGATATGTTACCACACCCAGAAATGCTGATCTTCTGATGGGTAGTATCCATGTCCCTAAGTAGTTCTTTGGCTAATTATATTTGCAACTAAGAACTCTGCAAAATAGTACACAAGAAAGCAGAAATGGGAAATGTCAAGGTAAGCTACATCTATTGTTCTGTGCCAGCAATTTATCAGTGATAAAGATAAAGATCAGTGTTCCTTATACAATCACACTGGCCCAAGTTCATTAGGTGATAATTACTTTTTTTTTCCTGCTTCAGAGCAAACTGTATGCGATTCCACCTTATAGACCCATCCTTTTTCATATACTAAATATGCATGGCTGGGCCACTTCCCACAATTCATACAAGTCCTTAGCTATAAAATTCTTTCCCTTAAGCCTTCTAATGGGTCTTTAAGAACCAACCCCACAGTCTTAAGAGAAAAGTTGAATTGTTACTGCTCCAACAGCGACTCTGCCTCTGAGTCACAGTTTATTTTTGTATCAACTTTTCTCATCAGAACATCTCGGTTTCATCTGCCAATTCTTTAATGTAGTTTGTACACAGATGGAAGAAGTTTCTACCATCCCTATTTATTAACTCTGGGCATTACATCTCCTTTCCACTTAATCTTGTCTTTCATTCCAAAATAATTAATCACTTCAAATTGTCAATGGGTTCTTAGCGTGACATACACCAATATCTAGACAGAGTAAGGTAAGACCTAAGCTAGATAACCCAGCAATACTTAAAAATCACCGACTCTTCTAGTTCTAGGCTGGAGGGACCGGGGTTCTAGGACATAGGGCTCACACTGCTGAGCCCAGCCAAGTGGGTCATTTAGTGATATGACCATCTCATACACTGAATTCATGTCAGGATCTTAATCTCATCACCCCTAAACTTGCCCACAGACATGCTGAGTAACTCCATGTGAATCCTTTTATGTCTTTAAGTTCCTATTTACCCAGAAAAACTATGAAATAAGTATTAAGTTCTTATCTAACTTGCAAATTTTCATTCATTCATTTATTCATCTTCCGGTCAAATAACATTTTCAAAATAAAAACCTGATGGGGGTTTCTTAACATGGAATAGCCCAGAGCTGGCCTGTGCCCAATAGGAATACGTAGACACAGTGCTGCCCTGAACACATACACAGGTGCTGATAGCGTATCATGAAACCAGCAAGCATTCATATGTGGCTGCCTGTGACCATAGCTGCTGCTTGGAAACTTGGATCACATTTAGAAACTGGCCAATGTCATTGCCCTAAGGTACTCTAGCCATGCTCCAGAGCACTACATGCAGACCAGCTGGCAGAGGCTATGGTTTCCCATGTATCCTGGCTCTGAACCCACCCAGCACAAAGCTACCCATCCTTATGGCCAACCACTCTTTGGCCCTCCCTGTCTGTGGCTGCCTAATTCAATTCACTAGACACAGCCTAAGGTTCCCTCCAGTCACCTCCCTCTGAATATACCCAATCCAGTTAGTAGACAGGAAATAGGGATATCATGAAGACCAAACCCACATTCAAGAACTACAAGTGCAGCCTTAAGGCTGATGTGAAATGCCAGCAAGTCCATCAGATCTCCTCTGGCCACAACACAGGTTAATATGGGCGTGATTCTCACCCGTATCACCACAGCAGACCCCACACCCCCACTGGAGGCAGGGGAGGCTCCTCCTGCCCACAAGGAGAAGTCTGGAACACAGGTATACAGTCTTGGGACCCAAGGGCCAGCTCTGACGCTCTCATATTTTACTTGGCCCAGGCAGTGTTTGTAGAATTATATGTTAGCTGCCAACTTGGAAGACTCAGCAGTTCCACATAAACATCCAGACCTCTGGGCTTCTCCTGAAAAATCAGACGTGGTAACAACAGAAGCAGCATCCTAATGCAATCAGAGCCTTGGACCAATGAGCAAAAGCCCCTTACTTTGTCCTAATACCTCTCCAGCACAGAGAGGAAGTACTAAGTGCCACATTCAAATTAAGACACAGGGGAATGTTTCCTGACCCTAGATCTCTATCAGAACTGGAGAGATGGCCTATTACCCACACAAATCACAGATATGAAGAAACATGGGACAACCATTTTCTCACTGTGGATATAAACAGCATTGTGACTGTTGAACTGGCTTCCTTTCCCTCCTTTCCCTGCCCTCTTACAGGTCTTTGAGTTTGTAACCCTTCCTACTTCTCGGTCCACTGGCTGAGATGAAGTGAGTTGGTAATCTTTGGGCTCCTATCTTTAAAACATTTAATATATTAAATATAGTCAGTGGCCAACAGTGAAAATTAAGACAATGAAAGCATCCATTTCAACAGCTCATCCAGCTGTCATGGATTAGAAGACATTGGCCCATAGGAAAAAAAAAATCAATCAATTGTATGAGTAAATTATTGAGCAGATGCAATAATCTAGACCACCTAGAACTCTACAAAGCCAACCACACGCTGCACACATCTGCTTGGAACACAGACTGCACTCTGCTATATTCAGTAAACAAGGAAAATCTGTATTGTTTTGCGGACGCTCTTCCCTGTCATACAATTCACCCTATCCATTCTCTAATTACCCACTACTTTTTCTGGCATGATAATCTCAGAGGATCAGAAAGGGCGTGTCAAGGGCACCAAGGAGTCCCCAGAGCAATACGCATACTTACATCACTGCTCTTGGGCCTCGCCAATGCCAGGCTGTCCCGGGCCAAGGCCACAATGACGTTGCTTTTCTCTCCAGCCCAGTGTACCACCATCTGATTGTGGGAGTCATTCAGGCTGACCTGAAAGAGACAAGCACAGGAATCAGAAGCCTTGGAGGGAGACAGCCATGCATATCCAAAATCAAGATCTCCCTGCCTGTCACTCAGAAGTGACAAGACTCTGAGATGCGAAACTGTAAACATTCTATCAGACTCAACTTCTCAGGAAGGAACGCTGGTCCCCTCATTATGGTCAGCTGTATTTTGCACGGTGAACTGCAGAAAAGTCTTAGGATTCCATTTGCAGAGTCTAGTCTTTTGTTTTATTTTCATCCTTTATAACACCAATCTTGGTACCTTGATCCTTACTCCATGTGTATGACATGTCCTTGTAAGGGCCCACACCAACACACTGAAACATCTCTCCTATTCCTCTCTCCAGCAGTCGGGAAGGGCAGGGAAGAGTGACAGAAGTCAGTGATGGGCACACAAGAACATCTGGGCAGTGTGAACAGTGCCTGCCCCACATGCACAAAGCCCTGGCTTTAACATGAAAATAAAAAAGCAGGTGGACAAAAGTAATGACTTCTAATGTTCTATAACACAGTGGGATAACTGTGATTGATAAACGTTAATTATGTATTTCAAAATAACTAGAAGAGAAAATTTTGAATGTTCTCAACCCAAAGAAATGATATTTAAGGTGATGAAGAGGCCAGTTACCCAGATATCCTAGTTACCTGAAGGTTATATGTTGTATATCTACTGAAATAGCACACTGTATCCCATAACTATATAATTAAGCATTAATAAAATTATCTTAAGAAATATTTTCCAGAAGTCAACAAAATGGCCTTTCAGTTATAACTTGAACACTAGTTCCAAGACAGTTTTGAAACCAGTAAAATGAAAATAGATAGGGAAGGTCAACAAAGGATTGGATGCTGATGTCTAATTTACCCAGCACAGACATGAACAAATGCAGCCATGGTATCGGAAGCTAACCAGCTGTTTTCTCAGTTTTCTTCCTGCACTTCCTGAGGACACCATGGACTCATCAGGCTCCATGGCTGCAAGATGAGGCCCTGGGATCATAGCTTGGGACTGCTACCACCACGCAGAAAAGAGCAAAGGCAGAGCACAAACAAGAAGGAGCCGGTGTCTGAGGGGATCCTTTGATCAGTCACATCTTGAACTTCTTGGATTCAGGCAATCTAGTTACACCACTGAAGTTTGGGGACTCGTTTGTTAAAACTGAGGAAGGATATAAGCCCAGAATAGAGTTCTTTTAGATGACTTCTTTGCCCAATGAAAAAATAACTACCTTCCTTTTGTTTTCCTTGTTTCACCACTCTACCTGTTCACTGTGCCGCCTTAAATACACACTCTTAGTTCACAGTGCACCGATGGGCCCCAGCTCAAGGACTGGCACTTCAGACACCTGAGTTAGGCATTTCACTGGGCCTGAATGGACAACAGATGGGTGAGGGTACCAAACCTCCTGGCAGCGGCCACACATGCCGATGCACGACAAAGCCCCTGGGTCAGGAGCATGCATCATCTCTCTTACTGAGTAATTCTTAAGCCTATTACACCAGCCACCTCAGTTGTCATGGGCATACTGAGATTTGGGGACTCACAGATGTCCCCTGAGGGTCCATCTGGAAGAGCATACCCCCCATACACTCCACCACTAATTCTTGAACTAATGAAATGAAATTCAGGTTTGACCTGCCCTTAGAGCTATTCTTTTAGCACAGGTCTACAGTAGAAAACTCTCCCCCATGCCTCTTTTGTCCATCCTTCCTTGCTTGCCTCCCCCACCATGCTCTAACTTTCCCCACCTACTCCTTCAGGGGCTCTCAGATGTCACAGGAGGACAAACACCTGGGCTACAAATTTGGCAGCCAGATCAACCAAGGAGCTAATCCATAACGACTCTGCTTTGGGCTTCAAGCACCTGGGTCTGATTTGATCCAGGCCCCAAACTCTTTTCAAAAGCATTTGCAATAAGACCTCTTTAAAGAAAAAGACCCTTGATATTTTTTAGGAAAACATGCTATTCCAAAAAACCACTTCTCATTCCTGATAGGTAAGTCCACACAAGCATCAACAGAGAAGTGCAAATAAAAAAATATAAATTATTTAACCCAGGATACTCGTGGCAGAAAGCAGCTCAGGGAATCCCCAGGGCCACTGAAGCCCTCCTCCGATCTTCCCCTCCCCCGTTCTTCCAGCCCAGGTTTCTGGGAAGAATCCAGAAGTATTTGTGGATCAGAAGCCCACTAGCACAGGCACCCTGGGAATGCAGGCTAAAGTTTTCTCCCCTATCAAACCATCCTCACCCTGGGAACCAAGGGGGGATAAATAGAGAACTATGCAAATGTCACTACCATAAAGGATTAAGAACCTGCAAGAGCCACTCAAGTTCACAGGGGTATGGATGAAAGGTCCACCAATGTCTGACCTGGGCATTCTCAAAGGCACACTCAAAGCACCCCCACTGGCAGGTAACAATCAGATGATGCTTTGAACGGGCTACAAAGCTTTCAGGATCAGAGTGGGGAACAGGCTGAAAACAACTTGCTGAAGTCTTTCTACATAGAAGATAGGCGATTAGGAAACCTCCCTCAATCATCCCAAGGGGAGAGAGCCCAGACGCGCACAAAGACTAGCATCAAAACACCCAAAGGCTTTTTTTTTTTTTTTTTAATAAAGAAAGTCTGCACAAGGCAAGCTTGGTGAAACACCTATTTAGAGAAAATAAGGCTTTTCTATTAGATGTCTGCTTTTTTTCTAAAAGCAGACTGAAAAAAGGCAGCCCAGTGGAGGAAAAGAAAAATCTCCCTGGCAAGAAACAGCTTGTCCAAGGGCCACTGGGCACTCACACAAACTGTTCCGCTCTTGCCTTGGCGAGAAGTCAGGCACATCCTGCTCATGAGAATAATGCCCTGGTGAGGCTGGCTGATCCCCGCACGGCAGCCCAGGTGCCCATCCCCCAGAGCACATGACCAGAATCAATCGCAGGAATCATTGCACCCTGAGGGTGACGAGAGGCTAGCAGGCCATCATTTTTATTAAAGCCAAGACATGCAGTCTCCTCTCTGGCTTCACCTTCCTCCTCTCTATCCCTGCCCCCACAATCTCAAGCAAACAAGGAACCAGCAGCCAAGGAAGCAAGCACAGCTCCTATAATGAAGAACAACCCCCAGGTCCCCAGCTAGATCCTTCACTTAAAGCAGTGGTTTCCTGTTTGTTTGGGTCTCTTTCCCTTG